TGTGTTGGATGGACTAGGAAGATTGCGGTTTTATTATAAAGGTACTTATCCTAACAATGGAACTTTTAAACCGTATTACATTGCTACTGATGCCGAATATCAAATGCTTGTAAGTGACACTGCGAACGACAAAGTGCACGTTATTGACTGTAATGGCGTCTTTCTCCGGTATATAAAACATCGCTGTAGCGGGGGACTCAGAATTGATGTCGATGGAAACCTGGTAGTGAGAGACGCGATGTCTGGGAAAATTAAATTTATGATATCTCGGTGAAGAAAACTAAAGACAGAAGAAAATCATTTATTTCACTTTTATTTCATAATGATTACAGTCCGTTTCAATTTTTTAAAAATAAGATCGAAATTATTATCAAATAATGGATCCGAAAATGTTCATGTACCGTGTCAATACAGACACGTCTTTACCAGTGGAAATGTGTTGTAAATCAACCTTGTAATTGAAATATGTTTCAATATATGTTTATTCATTTAACAACGTAAACTTTCTAAATAACAAAGTTTTTTTACTGTATTAACTCTGCCGCGCAGTTTATTTTCCCTATTTATACAAAATATAATGTTGTTATAAATTGTTCAGTTCATCAAATAATTAAGTTTATCGATCATATACTTTCCATAACAATTTATATTGATATTGAATGTCAGCAAAACCATTGTACAGCGCATAAAAACTATATGTGATTTTGCCCTTTTTAAATTAATGAAATAATAATAATAATATAATAATAATTGCGGCATTGAAAATTTTCATTTTTAAAGAATAAAGTTTGTGTTGTTTATATCTTATGGAGAGTCGACACAAAAATCTTCCAGACCATGATATCAAAAAACGAATATTATGAAATGTTTTAAGAAAATATAATATCATATAATGGTAATAAAGCATTAGCTCATAGAACGATCACCAATACTGAAAAAGAAAATAAAAAGAAGGAACGGTATCGGCATAATTTACCCCCATATTTGATTAAAAAAAAAACTAAAACTGCCCCCCCCCCCCCCCCTTTGATGTAAAAAAATTACAACAAATTGAAAATTGTGATAGTTTAGTTTACAGCTGTAAATATCGGTTGTTTTCAACTAATCAGCAATAATTTTCATTCAAAAAGTATGAGGGAGGCCATAAGAGTTGGACATTTCACTGATCTTTCTCAATTCCAATGGGATTTCATCAAATTCTTTTAGATACATGTACTTTTCACTACAACGGATAGCCTCAGATTTGAAGCTTACAGGTGTGAAAAATTTGGATGGATGACCAGAGAGGAACAGTGCCGTCCAGAGAAGAAAGAAGATTATTTTCTTAAAATTCTTACCTCAAATGTACAAAAGCTCGATTTTAGAATATTCCTTTAACGTCTGTCAACTACTCTCATATTTGACATCTGCACGAAGTGCGTTGAACCAATATATCTCCCAAAAGGCAATATTAATAGGCAAAATTTTCTATGGCCTCAATTTCAGGCACATGAAGGTTATTTACAACGGTTATAAGGAACGTTTTGTTGAGAAAATAGTAAAAGAATAAGTTAAAGACACATGGTCAGTATTCTTTCAAAGATAGCAGTTTGAAAAACACGGAGAAATAAATCGGAAAACAGGGCAGCTTTTTGTTCGCAATAAGCACACAAGTTTTTCAATGGGTGGAACTGAAGTTAACCAGTCTGTCATTTTTTTTATTTTTTTCAAAATGCTGCAGTTCTGCAGCTATAGCACGGACATATTTCGATCAGTAAAGCTTTCTTGAGCCATCGGTTCAAATTAGATAAAAGGATTATCATTGACATACTCTTAGTTTCAAAATAAAACAGAAGCTTTGAAATTTTTTTCTGTCATACATTTTATTTGAGTTTGTGTTCTCTTGCAGCGCTTCAAGTGTATCAAATGGTATTTTGTATGAAAGGATTGTACAGGAACTTTTGTTTTGCTAGATTTAATTGCAATATTTTTGAGGCTAATATTGCTTTTATTGCAGACGCATAACATGCAGTTAGAAAACTTTTTATGAAATAAATCTATTAGCTTGGTGTTTAAATGTTAAAATGATTATTCACAGAGACTGAAATAGTTATACCAAAGTATAATGTATTTGTGAAACACTGAAGTCCCAAACTGATAGCTTAAGTAGTAGGTAAAAGTTTCTTTGATGCAAGTCAAATTCAAAAACGTTGTTATCCAAAAGAAAAAAAAATGATTTGTCTCAATGAATAAACCTGAGGAATATGAAAGCCTGATCACCAATCAATCGAAATGTATGTAGTTTATTTTATTATTTTTGAAACTCCAAGGTAGAATAGCCGTTTATTGGCATATCATAGCGTCATTTGCTAGGATACATATGGTTTTTCACAGACAGACACAGCATAATATTCGATTGGCTGCCAGTTTCGGGATAATTTGGGTAGGTCAATGTATGACGAGCAAATACCCTTAAAAAGGGGTAAACTTCCCAGGGTTAATGGTCTGGATTCAAATAAGACCATTTCATCAATAAATCATGAAAATAAAGATCAGCAGGAAATTCTTTTGTCTTTCATAGGCTCTCATGCTTTTTTTATTATTATTAAATATAGTTAAGTAAAATATGGAAGATATCATCCCAAAACTTATAATCCTGTCAGAAATAATGCATTAATTAATATGACTTTGCTTCTACACCATAAAACACAACCAACTGTGTAAAGAATTATCAACAAATCCTTTTAACTCTGAAAAAAAATCATCTTTTAAATGGTTGTAAATTGGAATTTTCAATTCACCCAAGAACTTAGAGCGAAGCAAAAAAGAGGTTCGTGGCAGTAGTCCAAATTTTTTTTCTTCGCCAAGGTGTTGCTTTAAGAGCTCGCAATGACGAGCGTCGCTACGCTCGCTGCACTCGGCATTAAATTCTTATTCAGTTTTGCCTTGTTTTAAAGAGAAAGTAATCATTTCAAACAGATAACTTTATTTAAAAGTTTATTGCATTTAAACACTGGTCCGTGCGCAGTATCAACGACCTTTAATGACTGAGATTTTTACAAAAACATTAGGTTCAAACAATACAAATCTAACTATTCTAAGTTGGATCTTTATAACTTATATTTTGGTATACAATTAACATCTTTTGAATCATTCATCTCGACAAAAAAAAAAAAAAAGCACTGTCACCGAATTTTTAGACAACCCTCGATAATGTACAAGTTAAAACAAAATTTATTGAAAAATGAAAGATTTTTTTCTCTTAAATCTTTATTAAATCATCTAGGTTTTGGTATATAATAATCATATTTTTTTAAGAACACTAGATTTAAGAAGCAGATGTTAAACTGTTTTAAAAACAATCTTTAATTACCTTTGTTCAAAACATTTATAAAACCAAGCTTCTATTAAAATACATTCCTAAAAGAATGCCCCCAAAAGAAAAAAAATAAAGCAAAACACGCAAGTTAAGGAAAAAAAGAGTTGAACAGGTAATAGAGAACAGGCAATTTTTAAAAATTCTCATTTGTGCTTGACTAACAAATCATTGTCTAGTTTCACGCAATGAAATGATGACCCAGTTTTAAGCTTTGGAAATTTAAATCACCTAAGTACCTAGGGATACCGATCCAGTTAAGATCTTTATCTTGTTCATTAAAGTATTCAATGATTTTTATATAAAATTGATGGGAAATAGTGAGTAAATAATTGATTTTTTTACACTGTTTAATTAATATTACTTCTTAGATATAGAAGATAAAATCGTTAAGACTTATAATGTTATTTTACTATTCATAAATGATTTACAGTGTTGTAAATATTTATCTTTAAGTTATTGTATTATATCGTATTATTTTAGCAGTATTAATAAGAATATATATATAATGCACATACAAGGGTCTTTCAAAAAGTTCGAATGATTTTGTCGTAACCCTTTAAACGTAAAATTATATCCAAATTGTGTACCACCACTGATTTGAGTAAAAAAATGAAAATATCTTTATATTCATAAAAATGATCAAATGTTTAGAACTGCAAAAATGGGTTCTTGGAACAGCGGCAAAATTAAGTTATATACTAATTTTCACTCCATTATATCTAAAGATATAATTATACATCTAATAAATATGAAATGAAATAAAATTCCTTGTTTAAATTTACTCTTGCTGTATTACTTAATACGCAATAAGGTAATGTAATGAAATGCTTCGTTTAAAAGATATCAATTTCTAATGACATATAGACTTGATTAAAAAGGGCAAAAATCCATGACTCTGGAGGACTTCACGAAGTAGCGAGTAGCAATTAAATTTAGTTTCGCATTCGAGAAATCTCTAAGACAAATTTTAAAATGTTGTATAATCCAGGAAATAAATTAGAAATAATCAATGCTTTTGTACAAAACGGAAAATGCAATATTTGTGTGATAAAGACTTGGAATCGGACAATGAATGGGTCTGTAAAGAAACAGATCATTATTAAAAGTCTTGTCAAAAGAGCTAGGAATGCCATGAAACATTATGAGTGTACATAAAAGAATTTAAAAGCAATGGCAATGTAATTCAAACTATTTGAACTATTGTTAGCAAACTAGGTTATGGATACGTTTTATGAATGGAGATCTAGAAGACGCTACAGACTGTGTATGAAATTACAGCAAAGTAATTTTGAGTTTCGACATTCTTTCTGACCTTACAATGTTGGTTAACCATGCTCCGTGATTACAAAATATATTGCTTTGTAAATTGGCTAAAATGAGTTCAAATTAACCAAATGGAATGAAACTTCACAATTCGACAAAAATGAAATATATTTTTTCTAATTTTAGAAAATGTGTTAATCGTCAATCTTGTAATAATAATATGACGATGAGGAGTATTGTCTACATATTTTTTAATGACCCGTACATTCGTAAACACGAAAATAATAATAAAATTTGTAAAATTAATGATTGCATCAATAAGATAATATAATTCAACCAGGTAAATATGACTCTATTCTAATCTTAGTCCACCGTAGATATGGCTACTGCCCAGGGACAGGACATTATCTGCTGCCAATTGTGTTCAAACCCTGTAGAACATCACTGCAATCTTTGCCATGTTGACCTCTGCCTCTCATGTGTACCAAAGCATATTGCCGACAAATCAAGAGAGCATGAAGTTGTTGGATACACTTTTAAAAAGGAATACACAGTTTTTCTTCCAACCTGCCTAACACATGAGAAAAAGCGATGTGAAATGTTTTGCCAAGACTGTGAAATACAAATTTGTATTCATTGTCTAATGGGTTCACACAAAAGCATGAATTTACAAATATTGATGACATTCTTCAAGAAAGGAAACAGGAAATCGTGGCAGACACAGAAGAATTGGAAAATATAATTGTTCCTTTATATCGAAATGCCAACCTAACCACAAGCCCTGAAGAGTTTGACAAAGTTCTGTCTGCCATAGATGAACAAGAGGATAAATTCTGCAAAGCTGTACATGAAGCTAACATTAATCTCAAAGACAAAGTAACAAAACAGAAGAAAGAAGCGACCAAGAGGTGCAAGTCTTTCTCTGAAAAGGCTGAAAAGGAACTTAGTCGAATAATACAGAATAACAAAAATATTCTTGAAAGTAATGATGCCATAGCAGTTATAAACTATAAATCAAGAAATGGTGATTTCCGAGGAGGCCCCAAAATGCCAATTTTTCCATGTCCACTTTTTCTTGCTGGTATTTTAGAGCAAGACAGAATTGTTGACATGTTTGGTTTTCTTCAGACGGAAGATGACGTGAAAGAAGCAGGAATGCTGAAAATGATGAATGACCCAGTGGTACTTAGCACAATACAAAGCTTTTATGGACTTTGGCATAAACTGTGGAGAGTGCAATGTGTTGGGAGAGATGAGATCTTGATTAGTGGAGATAACAAAACAATCAATCAAATAGACAAGACAGGGTCCATTCTCAATACAATTCATACAAATGATGACGTGATAGCATTAACCATTAATTCACAACTACAACCAGTGTTTTCCTTAAGCAATTTATATAAAAAACAAACAGACATATATATTTACAACGGGAACAAAGTGAATGTTTTATTTAGCACATTTCCCTGGTTTTCCGTTGGTTTATATTACACAAGGAATGGATATCTACTGGTGAGCATGCGCTCTAAGGACGAGAGAAAGAGTAGAGTGGTGAAATACTCAGAGACAACAGAGATTCAGAAGATTGAGTATGGCAATCAGGGAAAACCTTTGTTTTCTACTGGTAGTAGAGCCGTCCTACTCCTGACAGAGAATGGTAATGGTGACATCTGTGTTGCTGACAATGCTGGGAAAGAAGTTGTTGTGGTGGATTCTTCTGGGGGATTACGATTCACGTATGAAGGCATCCTCTCTGACCATTCAAATGTCACAGAATTTCAACCAATCCATATCGCTACTGATATCAATGCACAAATACTAGTAAATGACAATTCAAACAACATTATCCATATTATAGACTGTGATGGTAACTTTGTACGATATTTAGAGCTTTCTTGTAATGGTGGGCTAAGTATTGATGTCGATTACAATCTTGTTATTGGTGACAAGGATAGTGGAAAAATATATATGCCTTATATTTTAGTAAAACAACAAATAACATGTTTTGGAAAGAAGTCCTTTCTGACTATAAAGAATTTATTCATTTATTTGAACCTGAAAATATTCTTCAGGTCTTGAAAGAACCTTTATGGTTTAACAGTAGTATCAGAGTACAAAGTAAATCTGTTTTTTACAAACAGTTATATGCAAAAGGTTTTCATATTGTGTCTGATCTATTGGGTACCGAAGGTAATTTGTTATCCTTTAATTGTATATCCATTAATTATGATGTTTTAATTTCATTTACTAATTATGAAGGGCTTAGACTTTCCATTCTGAAAAAATGGCCTGAAGTTAAACAATGTAGAACATCAGCTATTGGAATATACATTCCTACACATATTCAGGTCCTTTGTCGTGATGATTCCGGCTGTAAATCATTATACAATTTCTTTCTATCTAAGCGTTATAACCAACCTGTATGTATTACAAAATGGACAAGAGATTTAGGTTTGCAGAATGACTTTAATTGGAGAGATCTTTTTACAAACTTGAAATACATAAGTAAAGATTCAAATCTCAAATGGTTTAATTATAAGATCATACATAGAATTCTTGGAACCTGTAAATTGTTGTTTTTATCTAAAATTAAAGATAATCCACTGTGCTCTGTCTGTAATGTTGAGCAGGAAACTTTGAAGCATCTTTTTTATTACTGTCTTCCTGTTAAGGGAATATGGGATTGTTTAGAAGAATGGATTTTACAAAAAACTGGAAAAAATATTAACTTAGACCCAATTTCTGTTATATTAGGTATTTCTGGCAAAGAAAACACATCTTTAAATGTCATTATATTGCTTGTAAAACAGTATGTATACCAAAAATCTAGAAACTGTAAACCTTTGATATTCAACGAAGTAAAAAATGTATTATATAAATACTATAATTTTGAAAAATACTTGTTTGCATTAAATATGGAAGACACCCAGTTCAAAAGGTGATGGCAATTGTTAGACAATCTATTTGAAAAATGATCAGCTTTATATAATATTCATAAAAGGACATTATAATTTTTATTTTTGTTTGTTTGTATTTTTTTTCTTTCTTTTTTATAAATATACTTATAGTGATAGTAAACACAGTGTAATATATAAACATGAGTATATACTTATATGTATATTGAATTATCTTTTTGTACAATTCATAAATAGGTGATACTGAAACGGATGAGTGAGGTGGAAGAATCAGTGAGTGAATGTTTATTAAAAATCCACAATGATTTTATAATTATACTGCTATTTGAAAGTTGAATTGTGGAAATAAAAAAAAAAAAAAAAAAAAAAAAAGGATAGTGGAAAAATTCAAATTATCAAATACCTAGAGTGATGAAGTACCTTATAATGAATAATTTAAAAACTTAACATTTAACACTTGATCTCATCATATTTCCATTGACTGCAGATTTTTTGTGGAGAAAGCAAAGTTAAGTATGGACAATCATGTCACAATTTCATAATTCAGCTATTCGTAGCGGTACATGTAGTATTGGCTTTGTGTATACTAAACGGCATTTTGTTTAAATTCATTTGAAATAGTGTTGTATGTGATTATAAAACATATACATGTTTTGAATGTAATGAAGCACTATCAACAGAACGCTTTTTAAAGGCTACAGAATGAAAATGACAATACAGAATGAAAAAACACAAAAAGAAAGAAAGGAGAAATAGGAGTGCGAATTGACTTCAACTGCCAGCGAAGAAAAAAGCCGTCCAAATGTCACCCTTTCGTTCACTACCTACATGTACCTCCTCTTTTCCCCTTTTTAGGGCCCCCGCCTGACTGTTTGTGGCCTGGAGATTCCCCTTCAGCTGGGCGTTCGTTGTCTTTGCCTCTATTAGGCGACCCTTGCATTCTTTGAGACTGGAGGATGTTCCATGGTTATCACCTAGAAAAAAGACAACTGTCATACTTATATTTATGTATATAAAAATAAAGCTGCATTGTTACATAAAAATTTAAAACTAATTATTTTGTAAATGTGTATGACAATCATCGAAAAGCTGTGCTTAATATTGAATATTCGTATTTACCTCGATACGTGTATGCAAGATTGACAGTAAGTTTCCAAAGATGATACATTTACAAAAGATCTTTTCCAAAAAAAAAAAAAAAAAAAAAAAAGAAAATGTTAGCGGCGATTGTGCGTGCTAAAATTACATTTTTTTCAACATCAATCTTAGTTGCCTACTTGTTTTCAATAGTACAGTAAACGTTTAATCCACTATTGTCACTTAGTTAAATTTAAAACACTTTACTGAACATGCTGATCATGCTGAAAGCATATCTTAATGCATGTATTCTATCTTGCCTAATTATCCAATAAATTATAATTTTTTATAATTATTATAATTGTTCTCAGAAAACTATTATCAATGATTTATGAACAGCCCTCGTTTGTGTACATAAAAATGCTGGCTTCATATTTAAGCGACTTTGATGGGAACAATGATACGCTTATTTAAGGGATCCTCTAAGAAATGATTACGTCATACAATATACGGTACAATATTGTGAAGTGCTTATCCATGAATACGCTAACAACGCAAAGCTAAATAACCGCGCTAAATTGTGAACACTCACATACAGTATGTGTATATAAGTTGCCAACAATTGTAAAACATATACTTTTGTTTTCATTTCCTTCTTAAAAAAGCATTGGTGTAATATTCTTCGGCTAAATTGTAAACTTTCAATTATTTGTATATTTGAAAATGTTAAAATCAAAGTCTGACCACCGCTGTTATTCCAAATAAAAGAAACCAGCAATTAAAAATTTCATAAATCTTTCTTATCACATTGTGATTAAAAAAATATATCTACAGACTGTTCAATTCTTTTAGATTGTTTAAGCGATAGAGAAGTGACCTAATTTCAAGAGAATTAATTTGTCAAATAAATCAATAACTTTCCTTATGTGTAGCTTTATTTTTTACTAATGTTTACCTTGTTTCAGTAGGAACCTTTATATTGTTCTTGGATTGATGATATACTCTCTTACATGTTGTCAGATTTTGAAAACAAGTTCTAAACTAGTGCTAATTGTAACGGGGACCATTACAGATGTTCCCAAACCGATCCCTAACTCCCTTTTGGTGCCATATTCCCTGTAAGCTTCATTAAATAAGACAAACTGTATGCATTTGAGACTTTAACGTTTACCCAGTTTATTCAAATTTTAGCATTGCACGCGTGCACATGTGAATGCATTTGCGTAATGACCATAGCATCTTGTCTACACAATCTATACATATTTTCATATACTAAATATTAAAGTATTTAATCCAAAAGTATTAGAAAATACGATTATTCAAGTGTATTTTTGATTTTACTTATTTCACGTGCACGCAAGTGCATACAAGAGCATGTTGACCATACATTTTTGTAGAAGTCCATTGCATCTCTCTATGTTCTAAATCCCACCCCGTTTGGTTGAAAACTAAGGGAGTTATAGCTGTTTAAAGTTTCAGCCAATCAGATTGTAGCGCACGTACACGCAAGTGTATATATGTGCATGTTGACCATACCTTCTTGTAGAAGTCCATTATATCTAATCTGTTTGGTTGAAAACCAAGGAAGTTATAGCTATTTAAAGTTTAAGCCAATCAGATTGCAGCGCACGTGCATTATTTAATGAACAGCCCTCGTACAATGGGATAAAGTAATGCAAATAATAATTTTAAAAAATGCATACCTGGAGTTTGTGAAAGTTGGGATTTCTAACTCCATTTCAATTGGCCAAAAACAAATCTCCAGACATCGGTGAATATCTGATCATTTTTTCCAGGTTAAATGTTGAATTTTTCTCTGTTTGCGGCAAAAACTTTAATATAATAAAACAGAAAACTGATATAATAATTGTTTATATAGCTAGTACTTTGCTACATATGAATGAAAAATAAAAGTTGACCTAGTATTCATAACCATCATTGGAATTTCGCTTTTATTTCATTGCACAATTCCCCTTTTTCTGAAATAAAAGTCCTCATCTTTTTATTATTAAATGTAAAGTAATCTACCGTTAATTTTAATAAAACTTGCACTTAATTGTAAAGTGTGAGCGAACCAGGAAGTTGGTTCTGCCCTGATTGTTAGGTGTTTTACTTCCGTCTTATATCAAACTATTTATCATTTGAATTAAGTCAGAACATTCATAAAGCGAATATTTTCCCCTTACATTTCGGAGGTAAAGATGATAGTGATTCTTTAAGGAGTCTATATATCCAACACGTTTAAATGGAAGAATGAACAATTATTCGAAACTGGAATCTTCAGGAAGTGAGACTAAAAATCTCGAAAGTGATGTAAGCAATACGGTGTCAGTAACAAGATCCCTAGCTGTCAATGGTGAAAAGGATAGAAAAAAACCATCGTTGTCTGTTTTAAAAGATTAACTTAGAAATGCTCATTTATATCTAGTGAGGCAAGCAGCAAATCAGATAAAATAAATTTGACTTTGGAATGGTATTTAAATGATAGCACAGTGAAAATTCAAAAGATTATGGGTAATCATTTTTTTTTATATAATATTTTAAAAACAAAATCATTAGCTTCAAAAATGACTTAAGGTTATCCGATCCTCAGGTTCTGAAAATCAGGCATTGAGTAATTTAAAATGCTTACAAAGATGTCCCTAAATTTTTAAAGTAAAATGTATTTACCCACAGTGTTTCTTTAAACGTCATCTTTAAATTTAATCATATTATATAGGGAAAATTAGTAAATCTCAAATAATTTTTCAGGAAATGTGATTAGAACTACCTACTGCTTATTTTCCAATTGATAATTGATCAAGAAATACCGGTACATTTTAGGAATAAAAATCATAGGTATCCAGACTTTGAAAGAAAATTGCATGATTTTTATACTTATTCGGTACTTTACTTTATCCTACATACTTCCATCGTCTCATAATGCATAGTGTATGAAGTGTTTCCTTTCAAAGAAAACACTGTAAATAACTTCTAATTTCAAATCATGCTTATTAACATTGGTAACTTAGGCTAAATTAAAAGAACTTTGATTTTTTTAAATATGTAAGTTTAACTTAGTTTAGTGAAATACAAATGTCAACCTTTTTAATACTGTTATACGTAGAGGCATAAAATGAAAATTGTTGCATGAAAAAATTTCAATTTCAAGCTTTATTTTAAGACTTTTTGAATTCAATTATAAATTGAAGCGTTATCCTTCCTGGCTGAGGATCGGATATCCTTAAATGTAATTAAAGGTAAAAATACATCAGTTAAATGAGACTGCTGATATTCTTATTTCATAAATAAATCAATAATTTACCTTGTTTTGCACATTTTTCATAGTACGTAAAACTTTATCATACATTTTTGTGCGCCTCAAATCAAATTATAAATATTAAAACCCGTGCGCAGGTAATAAAAGTATATCAATTGATGCATTAGTAAGAGAAGTTGACGAATAAAACGATAATTTAACCAGATTATTATTTATCTTGGGTGTTAGATTTCTGTTTTCAACTAGTTTTCCACTAGTTAATGATCTAAATATAAAACCGGTGTTTCACACTCTGTGGTATCTTTTATTTCAAGCTGATCCGGAAATATTGTATCGACATAAGAATGGTAATAACCATTGTTTATCGATAATGCATCGTTGATATATTCAAATGTCAAGTTAAAGGCCACAGCTAGGTTTTCTTCTTCACACGTATAATTTTAAGCAAAGTATGATTCATATAAATACAAAAAAAAAGGTTTGATAATTACGGAACGCAATTGATACCCATGGGAATTCCACTTGATTGTTGCAAATCCATAAATTGTCTATAAAAAAAACTCAAGCATATTTTTTATAAAAACGCATGTGTACAATCGGAATATTTTTTTACAAAGTAATTTCGCAAATGACAAGGGGAGTAATTTAAAATTTTTAAAATATATATTTTCCCTTACATCATTGTTTATATCACTTAGCTACAAATGAATGAAAAATAAAAGTTGACCTAGTATTCATAACAATCATTGGAATTTCGCTTTTATTTCATTGTACAATTCCCCTTTTTCTGAAATAAAAATCCTCATCTTTTTATTATTAAATGTAAAGTAATATACCGTAAATTTAAATAAAACTTGTACCCAATTCTTATGTGTGAGCGAACCAGGAAGTTTGTTCTGCCCTGATTGTTAGATGTTTTACTTCCGTCTTATCTCAAACTATTTATCATTTCAATTAAATAAGAACATTTAAAAAGCGAATATCTTCCCCGTATATTTCGGAGGTAATAATGATAGTGATACTTGTTAAGTAGTCTATATATCCAGTACGTTTAAATCGACGAATGAACAGTTATTAACTCATGTGTAAAGTTTAAATGCCGAATGACCCTTCATGTCAGCAAAAATTCAATTTAAAGAAAAAAACAGTTATTGTCCATCTATTTTATTCAAGATGAAAATAAAAGTTGGGGTGCTATTATATAATTATTGCATGTAGTTAACTGTACCATTGACAATTTCCCCCCCCCCCCCCCCCTAGAAAACCATTGTCAACCGTGGCGTAGCAAAATGATATAAACAATAATTATATCAGTTATAACACGATTTTCAGAGGAATTTCTGCAAGCTGTTTTGGGATGTTGGGAACCAAATATCGCAAGTGATGAAAATATATGTCTATACTTAATCTAAAAACCTCTGTGAGTTGTGTCATTGCTCTAAATAGTAAGTTACAGAGATCCGATTGGCTTATCTCCCCACTACTGAAAACCCGGTGGCGCCAACAATGTCTCCTACATGTACAGTTCTGGTTGACAATATACATGTACATTATATCCCAAACAATATTTCAACAAATTTAAGATTTTGATATCGCTGACCTGAATAGAGCGATAACGTATTTTTATCAAATGATAAAATGACAAAGTCACTAACACATTATATGCAGAGGTTAAAACATTGATAAAACCAATTGAACTTTTCTATATTTCAATAGTGAGGACTATGATAAAGCATAATCATTTGAAGGTTTAAACTTTTAGAAATATGGCAAAATATTCATCTTATACAACGTTCTTGGTAATATGTTTCTTGTTCGTTTCAAATATGGAATACGGACTGTGTCTCCTGTTTCATGACCATGTGAACAGCACAGCAGTTGATCACACTTCCGTTTCCCAAGATGCAGCGGGGATTCACCAACTTCTGATCAAACAAATGTCATACTTGGAAAACAGCGTACGACTCCTTACAGATGAAGTCTCAAGTCTAAAAAGGAATCGGTCAAAAGCTGACACTGAAATGTCAAACTTAAAGCAGAGACTTGAGTCCACTGAACAGCATAATCAAGATTTAAAGCAAAGACTTAAACGTACAGAACAGCAGATTACAGAAATGTCACAGATATCGTTCTCACCAGAAGACATGTGTAATCGAACAGATAATTTAAGTCAAAACTGGAATCTTCAGGAAGAGAGACTTAAAAAACTAGAAAGCGATGTGGGCAGCACGGTGTCAGTAACAAGAACCTTAGCTGTAAATGGTGAAAAGGATAGAAACAGAACATCGATAATAGAAAAGAATGTGTCTGTTCTAAAAGATGAACTTAGAAATGTTCATTTATATCTAGTGCAGGCAAGCAGCAAATCAAATGAAATCAATTCGACTTTGGAATGGCATATAAATGATAGCATACTGAAAATTCAAAAGATTATAGGTATATACATTTTTACAATATTTTAAAAACAAATTCATTAGCTTTAAAAATGATTTAAATGTAATTAAAGGGGAAAAAAAGATTTATTAAACAAAACTGCTGATATCCTTGTTTCATAAACTTACTTTTTAATGATTTACCTTGTTTTAGACATTTTTCATAGTACGTAGATACCTTTTTATACATTTCTTGCTTATCAAATCAACTTATAAATATTAAAACCCGTGCGCAGGCAATAAAAGTATATCAATTGATGCATCAGTAAGGGAAGTTGACGATTCAAAAGATAATTTCACCACGTTTATTATAAAGCTTAGGTGTTAGATTTTTGTTTTCCACTAGTAAAACATCCAAATATAAAACTGGCTTGTCACACTCTGTTGTATCTTTTATTACAAGCTTATTCAGAAATATCGCATCGACATAAGAATGATAATAACCATTGTTTATTGACAATTCATCGTTGATATACGAGGGTTGTCCCAAGAAGCCGTAGACAATGTTTATAATTTTTTTAAACATGCAACCTATACTAACCTAATTTTGCATGGAAATTAATATATTCAATGTTCTTTGCAATTGGGGAATTTTAGAATTATATCTTTCTTATTAATGAAATTAGGACGATTTATATGAAGGCCAATAACGCCTGTCGGCGCACGAACAAAATACAGAATATTTTTCGCATATAACTATTACATTTGCTTTTATTTTTTTAGTACTATGTAATACTTTGACCTCAAATCTAAATCTTTGAAACCAGAATTAAAATCTTAAGAATATGTCAAAATTTCATAGAAATAACGTCAGAAACAGACGATTGGTGTCATGATTTTCATAGTATCGTTGGAATTGAGTTTGATGAAAACGCGTTACCGGCGCACGGAGATGTAACAAATTGTGTTGAATATGATTTATAAACAGCAGAGACGGGGAAAAAGAGTACATAAGTGACATTACCCGCCAGATTTTAATAGAGAAATTATTTTTAAATGGCACGATATTCGATGAGAGTTTTTCCCCCAGACGGAAAATAGAAACAGCATGTAAGAAGTAGAGTAGTTCTAATTAACTGAAGACAATTGGGAACAATCTGGACCGTGAACGACGTCAAACAATGTTTATTCTTTGCTGCCTACAATGTAAGGCGATCTTTCGACTAAATTTAGACTGAAATTTGAATCTGCAAAAAAAAAAAACAAAACAAAAAAAAAAACAAAAACAAAAAAAAAAAAAAAACAAAACAAAAAAACAAATGAAAAACCAACAAACAGTAGTGAGCTAAAACAATCCATTAGTCAAGAGTGGTCTACAAATTAAAAACAAATATGAAATGTTAATAGATGCGAGCAGAGCAGACAAAGAGATCATGACGTTATAAGAGACGTTATTTACGTTTGCTTTCGTGTGCAGGTGTACACATACATGCTTTCTTTATTTTTACATAATTTTCTTATTAGATGTGATATCATCATGAAAATTGAAATGCGTGATCATAAAATGTTTCTTTCTGATATGACAAGGAAAGATATTAAATTAAGCAAAGAGAAACTTAACTGTTTTACATGTCAACGACTTTTTGGGACAACCCTCGTATTTAAATGTCCAGTTGAAGGCCACAGCTAGGTTTTCTTCTTTACATGTATAAGTCTGATTCATATATATACAAAAATAGGTGTGATAATAACGGAATACAATTGGCACCAATGGGAATTCATCTTTATTGTTGCAAAACCATAAACAGTGTATAAAAAAACTCAAGCATTTTTTATATAACTTTTTTTTGTACAATCAGAACATTTTTAACAAATTAATTTCGCAAATGACAAGGGGGTAATATGAAAATTTCAAAATTCATTTTTTCCCTTACTTCATTCATTTAAAATTATTTTAAAAGGAAAATTCATCCAAAATAATTTCGTTTAACCACTTTTTATTCAGATTTTACAAATCCTATTGGATTTACTGCTGGGTCAACAATTAGCAACTCCTTTTCTGGTTCAACGCTGATCTTTAACAAACTGGTCTACAGCATTGGTGGTGGTTATGATACGTCTACAGGTGTTTTCACTTCACCTGTGACAGGTGTTTTTGTTTTTTATGTTGCCGTGGTCTCACAAGAGACCACTGATTTGTTTCTGGACATTATGTTAAACGGTGTTGCAAAAGTGAGAACATTGTCATTTGTTCCAACGGGAACACCTATCAGTCAAACAGGAACAAATATTGCTGTCTTACATATACAGAGTGGAGACAGGGTTTGGATAAAAAATCATAATGGTGGAGGATACCGCGCAGATAGAGGTGTACCGATTGTTACCTTTAGTGGCTTCCGATTATAAACAGATTTTTATACAATCAACAAGTTTAAAAAACATAATTATTTGTTTAGAAGTGAATGACATAAATTGAAATAAAGTGATTTTACCTTTTTGACCTTTTGTTGTCTTTTGAAATGCGTGTTTTTAAAGAGTTGTTCATCGAGTTCTTGGACAAATTCATAATTGTCAATATGAATGGTATTTAGATATACTTATTGTCTACCATTTTTTTACTGAAAAAATAGGGTGTGGAGAATTAAATATGTGGGAAGAGGTAAGTTTTTTATCAGTGGAGATGACAATACATTCAAAGAAATAGACAGGATTGGGTCCATTTTAAAAACAATATAAATACAAATAATAATGTATGGGCACTAACAATTAATTCACAAAAGAAACCTGTGTTTTCAACTGTGTGTTTTAAAGATACAATTATTTACAAGTACAATGTAGATAATATAAAGGTATTATTTGGCATACCTGGCTGGTTTCCTGTTGGTCTATGGTTTTCAAGGAACGGAAATTTATTAATTAGTATGCGCTCCATAGATAAGACAGAGAGTAGAGTGGTGAGGTACTTAGGGAGCACAGCGATTCAAACTATCCAGTACGATAGTAAAGGCTCTGTTTTCTACCGGGTTTGACCAAACTGTACTTCACCTGACTGAAAACACTAATGGTGATATCTGTGTTGCTGACCATGACGGGAATGCAGTCGTTGTTGTGCATTCTGCTGGTGGACTACGATTTATTTATCAAGGCAATGGTTCCCTACACTCAAAATATTTTTTTCCATCTCACATTGCTACTGATGTGAATACTCAAATATTAATAAGTGATAACACAAATGATGTTATCCACATTATAGATCGTGATGGTAACTTTATCCGTTATATAGAATATTCGTCTGGTGCAGGACTATGTATTGATGCTGACTACAATCTTGTCACCGTAGACAATAATACCGGAAATATACAAATTATCAGATATTTAGAGTTATGAACACTTCTGCAATGAATGATGAAGAAAATAGTTAGCTCTCAATCGGTGTTTGTTTGAATAAAGAACGCTTGCACATTTGGTACATGTACAGTATTCTTTCAAAGTATTCTTGATAAAAAACTCACATAAGATCTCAGAGCTATAGCTATGTACAATACTTAAGTGACCTCAATAGATAAAAAAATTAAATATGTGTAAATATTTTGGATCCAATGCGTGCCATGTTGCGCCTTGAAACGCATTAAAGACACTTTGAACATGTTCTGCGTTGACATTCTGCAAAGTGATTGAAATTCACTGTCAGAAGATTTCTACAATAATAATAATTGGTGTCGAGGGAGGTCACATCATACCCGAATTATGTTTCTCCTATTTAACAGCGCTTTGACATATTAGGAATCAAAGTTGTTTGTAGGGAATTATCGGTTATTGTATCAATAGACATGTGATTCTAAATGATGTGAATAAAGTTTTCTGTTTAATGTAAATTTGTTAATGTTTGAATATATATTTTTTTACAACTTGTAACTGATACATACCTTAGTTAGCAAGTATGGGTCAATACAAAACAATGAGCATACATGTACAGATATAGATTTGAATTCCCTTTTTTTTCAAATGAATATCTATTTTAAGTTGGTAATGCTCCAACAGTTCAAATTTATGAACATGGTTAAAGTTTGATATTTTTTTGGGAAAAAAAATTAAACTCGAAGGCTAAGGTTTGATTTGTTTTTTACTCAAAAGGAATACCTTATCACAAGGAATAAATGTACAATTATAGTTAAATATATAAACCAACACCCGAACCACTCAAAAACTTTGGAAAGTTTTAAGGACAAACAAACAAACAAACAAACAAACGGATATTTACACGGATAGAACAAATACTATATATAGAAAGAATTAGATTTTCAGATGGTTAAATGAGAGGAAAATTTAGAATAAAGAAAAGATCAAGTTTAAAATGCCTGCGTAGATAAATCTTGCAAAAGCGTTAATATAGGCTTACTTGTTGTGCTCTCTGTACGAGGTTTCTACGAAGTTTTCATGACGTGCACTGAGCTGTCCCTTGACGTTTTTAGTATGTAAAATGCCCTGACTATATATTTATGCACACAAGACCCAAGGACATCTAAAAGGACTCCAGGAAGTCTCTATAAACAATTGCCGTCGACTATTCCATGTGTTCAGATAACACTTTTGTGTTTCAGATGAGTGTTCTGAAGGTGCTGTTAGAAACCTTTCGCCCTATTTTGTGGACCCGGCAGTGTTTGAACTACTGCGTGTTTATAGATACATGTATTCAGACATACAGGACGTTCTATGTGCAAAGTACAGGCGCTTGATGCCGTTTGGCATTTTATTATACCCAGTCAAGTCACCTGGAGATCAACCCGAGCTTTTGCAGTGTTGTATGATTGATACATGCACCTCAAAGCACTGTTATATTCAGTGACGCCTCTAGATTACCACGAGAGTGCATCTCTAATGTGATGAGGACTTATTTTTTCATTCAACCTCAGGAATACTGTTCAGTTGTATTTTCAATACGTTTGTAAATCAGATATGGGTATGTGTAGAGTTTGCAGATATAATCTATACAAGGAACAATTGAAATCACAAAATGTTACCAAGATCAAGAATTTCACATTGTTTTCCCACACTATTTACAACCAATCCATAGCTATGCATTAAAATCCAAGCTTTTTGACTGGTGCCTTTTCAATTAAAATGAAATCCTTAAATTTTCAAACCTTGTCACTGGTCATTTGCACATTTACTTTGTTAAAAGAAATTCCGATAATGCATATAACTACTCTGCTAGACTATTAACTGACAATATCTATCTTTTTTGCAAATCACGTCGTCCAATAATCTGTTTTTTGCAATCATATTGGACAGAATTTACTAGAAAACTTCTACATTTGAAGAGGAATACACTTGTTGTAGCTTTCAATGAACGGTACTTTACATCACTAAATGCTTGTGTTACCTCATTACACGAGGGAGACAAATTTTTCACAAATTAATCATATTATTATTTAATATATTCCATTAGAATGTAAATGCAATAATGACATTTACGCGAGCACATTGTCTTGCTTTATTAAATACGTCGACTTTAAAATAATTTACAATACTTACTTTAAATCATATGTTTCCTTGGTATATATCCAAGAGAGCTTGAGATTGAAGATATCACAGTGTCTGTCACATGTGTTTAATATTATACAGTTATGGATCGGGTACGAGGGAAATAGCAAAGAACCTGGTTCACTTGTCGCAAAATTCGGCCCCGTGTCAAAATTAATAATATTACTCTAAGTTCTTCTAAAGAGTGTATATTTTTATGAAATTATCAACATATACCTGTACAGAGCTTTATTTATGTTTTATATAGCTGTAAAGGTAGCATTGTTTACGTTTACGTTGCGATATTTTGACGTTGATTTATGCGACGTCATGAACAAGAATGGGATATAATATTTCAAAATATATCCAGCTAACATGCATTTTTCATTATGTAGGTTCATTAAATATCTCTCACAAACGCAAAATGCAATTTATTGTTCTACATGTGATAGTATACCATACTTACTAATTTATTTTTCATTATTAATGGCAAAATATTTGAATCAATTCGTATGTTTAAAATCTTTTTTAAAAATCATATTTATTAGAGAAAATAGTTGTTTGTTGGTGGGTTTTCATACGTTAAGGGACTGATGCCATGAGATTCATGCCGCTAAAAATATTTTAAAAGAACTTGAAACAAAAAGGTAGAGGAAGTGTTGAAAAAAAATCATACTTTAAACAGTTTACTATTTTATCGTTAGTTTGATGACCCTACTCAGTTTGTCGCCTTTTTTTTATGACGTCATTGCTTCTCTATCTTTCGTCCCTCTGCTTATTGCACTTTTTAAAAAGATATATCGTCTTGTTATTAAATACTGATTGAAACCAATTTCGCTTCTATGACTTTATCATGAACATTTGACTTAATAAAATATTGAAGATGGAACTACACCTAAGGGGAAAGATCCTCATTCAATTTTGTCGCTCGTTGAATTACAATTTCTTATGTTGCGAGTAAAACTTTTCAACGTAACTGATTTTGAAGTTTGGACAGTATTCAAAATTTCAAAGTCCTTGGACTATAATATATAAAATTATATAACAAAGCACCACCATCCCATCCAGCGTGTTTTTTTTTAGGTTACATTTAAGAGATCTCAAAGAACTGAGATATTGCGAATTTTACGACACATCAGTAAATGAAATTGATTATTAGATGACAAATGCTCACATTTAAAAATGTGTTTCCCCTACTATTATAAAAATAAGTCGTTATTTGAGATGTATTGCTTGGTTATACCAATGCTTATTGAAATTCTACTCTAAATTAATTCATTACTTTCAAATGAAAGTACAATAAACAACAAACACACCAAACATAGCAACGACACGCAGCAGAGTACATATGTAAAATATGAAAATCAATTTGTATATATACATGTTTATGTTGGATTGAATAAATCATGATAAAATTTTAAATTATGCTCTACGTGCCTAAACTGGTATTTAAACCACTATTCACCTCATATATAGCCTTGCTAACACCGGTTCTAAAGAACCACGTGATATTCACCAGGTATTCGAATGAAAACCTTGCAATTCCGAAAAAGTAATTCATTATCACACCAAGTAGAAATTGATTTCTATCTAATTCGTTCCTCAAACGAAAGAAATCATATCATTTTTATAAGATTTATTCAAAGATATAAGCCGTCTGTCTTATAGTTAAGGGGGATGTCATATTGGATCTAGTCTGGTGTAAAATAAATAATGGACTAACAATTCAAAGTGTTAATGCAAAAACCTGTTCAGGAAATTAATCATGTTAGAAGCATTTGACTCATTGAAAATGGAGTTAGTTTGAATTGATAATATGGCTACAACCATTTGTTTCGCTTTTTTCTTGTCATTATCCATAATTCTTGAAAATTTGATTTTTCAATGGGTGTCTTCCTGAGGCCATGTGTTTATTGTATCTGTCACACAGAGTTCGAATAACATTGATTTTAGAATAAATGCGACCATAATAACATCAAGACAGAAATTGTTAAGTAATAATCATTATGTTATATTACTTACTACTGTTATTTGTTGCATCGCATCGTCTGAATAATGAAAAAACGCGATTTTAACCCCACTCCAGCAAATCGGGAAAAAGAGCTGAATTTCCTTGTTAATATTATTATTGTGCTTATATTCATCAACATGATTATATTTAATTTTTTGAACAAGTCTTGATAATTTGTTGTCAAGAAAAAAGATAAAAAATAATTTACCTCGATAGAAGTTATTTTAACTGAAATTGCATTTAATTTGAAAAAGTTAAACAATATGCAGTGCATGAAAAACAAATTGTAATTACATGTCTTACTCGAAAAGTTGGTACATATGTCTATTTTGTTCAGCAGTTAGACAGAATATAAGATTTCCTTCAGGCACCTCACATAAATAGCTAGATTGTTTGCAATGACCCACACATTGTATGGAGTAATATATATATGTCTCATTATGTTATCAACGTATGAACACACGAGCTGTTTCTTTGAAATTTAAAAGCAAGAACAATGTTTGCAAAAAAAAGCAATGCTATACTATGTTTGAGTGCAAAGATCAAAAATTACAAATACAAAAATGCATTACTAATTATGTGTTTAACACATTTGTTTTAAAAATATGATAAGCCTAGAAATAATTTTTTTTTTACACATTGTCGTCAACAAATAAATGTTTAATTTTTAAAAATTTTTTTTCACCTACATATCCAATAAGAATCATTTTAAAGATGGTATAAAATATTTAATTATGTCGATTTTTTTTTACTCTGTTAAATTGTCATTTTGACAAAACGGGCAAATAGAAAAAATGAATGAATCAAGTAATGAAATTTTGATCAAAAAGTAAACGATATTTTATTGTTGAAATATTCAAGCAGTGTCGAAATGCTTAATTAAAAACACATCCCTTTTCAAACTTGCTTTCACCGGGCAACATAACAAGTATCATATTAACCATCTGCCTTCCTTCACTTCATTGATTGAATTTATGATTGTCTTAAAATATGATTCTTATACGCTACTTCAAAGGCATTTTTTGATTGATTGACAACCATTTTTCGTGACAAGTAGCTGCATAATGAATACTGTTTAACGTACCCTCTCCATTTGAATATTTCACTGATATGGAGACGTCACCATTGCCGGTGAAGGGATAATTAAACTTTTGCAAATTTAGGCTCTTAATTTTTAACTATGCTCATTTTTCCTTACCTGGAATCAAAGAGTTTAAGATTTTTTTTATCAATAGTACACTCAACTGTACAATAAAAATACTAAATAATAAATAACTTAAAGAAACACTATAACACAGATATTTGCAACTGCCACACCAGCTGTGACACATGGGGCCTTTTTGAAAATAACGATACATTGGTTGAAATTATCATTTACGGTCTTATCAGTTTGCGTAAGGACCGCCCCATTTAAGGAGCATATCAAAAGCATTTTTCTGCAAAAGTATAGATTATATATGCACAACATGCATTCAGTTATGCATATTTATTGTATCTTTATCATAAAGACTTAAAATTTGATCAAAATATAATGCATTTTAGCCATTAGAAGAAATGTTTACATTTCGTTCTCAGCACTAAAGGTGGGTACATCCCCCTTAAGAAGTGGAAAGAAAAGAATGATGTTATTTTAGGTTTTAAAATTTGTTTATGTACAAGGAAAAAGGTCTAACATATTTGATGTTTTTTGAGTGGACATAAAAAATCGATGTTGGACCGCTGAGTGAGATGGACCTGTCGATGAAATGTTCGCCCACGGGGCTTTTGATGCAAGTAAAAAAAAAACAATAAAGTTACATTGCTGGGCAAAATAACATGACGTCACATGCATTTTGCTCTCGAACTCGGATAAATGTATAATATTTCTCGTACATGTATACAGTACGCATAAGTTTTCGCAAACTTTGTAAACACTGAACACTTTGATTGGTTAAAATTACTAATAAATATTCATGAGGGCTGGTCTGAAAAAAAAAGTAGTCCCAGGGAGTAGCTCTGATTTTCCAGGGAGTAGTCTTCTATTGTTCTAATAGATGCAGAAATATAACCAGAATCTAGATAGTATTAGTTTCAATTCTCGAGAGGGAAAATAGACAGTTGTTATGGTATTAATTTTATATAGAGTAATTACAGTAGATGTATAATAAAAGAATATATTACTTGAAGAGTCGTAAATGGAAATTAAAAATCAAAATAATGATTTATGACTGTATGATTTAAATATTTTTATTGATCAACGTCTCTTTTTTTACAGCTATGTAACAATACACCCCTTTTCCAAGCATATGGTATTTTTATATCTCAATATATACGATATATGCAAGCATACGTACAATCATATCGGAAGCAAAGCGAACTACTACAAGAAGCAAACGAACTACTGAAGACAAGTTTAATATGAAACAATCAGATTTCAACTTTTCAAGCAACATGTCGATACATTAATCTTATCAGCAATAACATGTATTAAGACTAACAATTGTACTATGTTTAAGAAGGCCCATATTTTAGCTAAAAAACAGTTTAAAATGAAAAAAAGAGTTTATAAGCGTTGATGAAACTGCTAGAGTACCTAAAATCACGTTTAGTTGATTCTCTAGTTTCTTCTCGGGAAAATAGACAGTTGTTATGGTATTAATTTTATATAGAGTAATTACAGTAGATGTATAATAAAAGAATATATTACTTGAAGAGTCGTAAATGGAAATTAAAAATCAAAACTGTATGATTTAAATATTTTTATCCTCAACGTCTTCATCTCAATATATACGATATATGTAAATGTACAACATCAGTTTACCGTTTTCTCTATCTTCAATAATGAATCAATGAATAATCAATGATTACCGTCTTCCTTAGAAGGCGGTGTAATATAGTTGATTTTATTTTTACAGTCTCTGGTGTTTGCACTTCCTCTCTTTTGTGTTTGGTAAAAAATTGCATGATGAGAAAATTTTCAATAATTTCATTGCTTGAAATGCTGTTCAATGCAAGGGAGATAACTTTCTGATGATCGAATTTTTGTACAACTTAACAAGTATGCAAGATTTTCAATCGTAAAAAAATAACAAAACGAACAAGAAAATCAACACTAATTAATTCTTATAACATGATATGTTTTATTGCAATAACTTAAAAGGGTTTCAAATTCATTGTAAATGAAATTTCATTTTAATTGCTTGCAGGCTTTAAAATTTGTTATTATTCTTTTCCCCTTTCTTGTTGCCCGCGTGGCGCAGTGGTTGGAGAGTCTTCTCTAGAGTCGCGAAGTAAGGAGTCAATCCTTACGTCGCGTGCTCGAATCCCACTGTGGGACGTGGAGACCGGTCCTTCGGATGAGACTGTATAAACCGACGTCCCGTGTCGCAGTAGGTGTTGGCACGAAGAAGATCTCTCTCTGCTCAATGGCCCTGAGTGCCGATCATGGGACAAAATTTGCAGCTCTCTACCGGCAAGTGGTGGCTTCTCCATAGGAGTGAAAAATTCTCGAGAGGGACGTTAAATAATATACAATCAATCAATAAATCAATCAATCAATTAATCCCCTTTCTTGTTTGAAGAAGGTAACGGAATCAGCCGGGGTTTGCCGAAAGCTTTCGGCCAGTCACAGCCTGGTTCCCTGTCCGTCCCTGTTTTGCTTCTTAAACTCCGCGTCACTGACATGGATGAGGAAGTGGACCAGGCTAGGCCAGTCAAAAACTTTACTTGTTAAGTAAAAAGACTGACTTACGTTTTTATTTGACGTTTAATCCATTATATATTCATTGCCCTTTTTGAGTTTTCCTATGATGACATGGAGCACATGGTTGATGTGATACGTAAGAAGGGGATTGTCCGTCCCTTTTTGACCATGGCTTTCAGAAATATTTTAGCTCTGATGTATATTTCTATTTTTTCCTTAAATATTGTTCGTTTTGGCGATATGTTTTATCCACTCACCGTGGAGCAATAAAAATGGATTTAAAGGTGTGCTAAATTGGAGTAAATAATGAGATATTGTTTGAATGTTTGATTGACTGAGTGTTCTTTAACGTTCAATCATATGGAGACTCCACCCTTTACCGGTGGAGAGCAATGGATTTTGTCCTATACTCGGAAAAAATGAGCAGGGGGGGGGATCTTTTTTGTCAAGTTCCTACTTCGACAAGAGGGCCTCGGTTTATACGGTGTCATCTGATGGACTGGTATCCACGCCACATAGGGAAGAGAGAAATACAATGTAATTATGATTATGAATTTCATTCATTATTGATTGACCCCAATTTTTATAAAGTATTTGATAAAGATCGTTCTTTTTTTTTAAATTACTTTAGTCTATGTCGTCTACGTGTAACAAAATACAAGGTCAGTTTATCAGTGACCTAAATAAAACAGAGATGACACGATTTGTTCAGCTGATATAAAATGTCATAAGCTTTTGTACTTTGTACGGCCTATTAACTATTGATAAAAAAAATCACATGAGTAGTTACATTACAATAGTGTACATTCAGAGATTAAACAGATTTCTTTGAAAGAAAAAGCTTTCAGAAGATGGCAAAATATCTTTCTATACGGTATACTTTGGTTTTATATTTTATGTGCTATACAAATTTGGAGTACGTTTCCTCTCTTTTGTTTCACAACCATGTTAATAGCACACAGACCGAAAACAGTTTAGTCTCCACAGATTCGGCTACGATACATCATCTTCTTGACAAGCAGATATCTTACTTGGAGAAAGCAATGCAACTTCTGGCAGAAAAAGTTACAGATCTGGAAAAGAATCGCTCTGATACTGACACTGAAATGGTAAATTTAAAACAAACACTAAGAGCCACTGAAAAAAGACTATTATTAACTGAAAAACAGAATGCAGAACTATCTCAGAAATTAATAGTACTTGAAGACGTGTGTAACAATACGAGGGGCAATAATCAGACTTCAAATATTCTGGAAGAGAGACTGAAAAAAATTGAAAGTGACGTTAGCAACACCGTGATACTGACGCGAACCTTGGCTGTTAACGGTGAAAGATATAGAAACAGAACACTGAATACAGAACAAAATGTGTCAACTTTGAAAGATGAACTTCGAAACATTCATTTATTCTTAATGGAAGCAAGCTCCAAATCAGAAAAACTTAATTCGACTTTGGAATGGCATATAAACAGTACTTCTCTGCAAATTCAACAAGTATTAGGTTAGTAACATGTATGTTTATGGGAATTGTGGTTTTTTTTTTTTGTTTTGTTTTTTTTTTCATTGTGCTTTTCTTACGTTTTTGTTTTTTTATACCCCCCGCTTGAAAAGCGGTAGGGTATATAGTAATCGTTAATTCCGTCCGTCTGTCTGTTTATGCTTCGGGGTACCCATCTCTTATCCGCAACTCCTCTAATACCACTGAATGAAATTTGATGAAACTTTCACAGAATCTTTATTACATATTGCTTTTGTGCACCTCCTATTTTACTTTTTGATCCGACACATATTTTTGGTTTCACGGCCACAGCATAACATGAACTTTGCCATTATAACTATATGGATTCGGGGGTATCATTTAGTGAGCTCATCGCTCACAGTACCTATTGTTTTATTAGAGATTAAAAAAATAGAGATCATAAGAAATTAAATATGTTTTTTTTTCTTTTTTTAGATGAAAATAAATACGCAAACAACACGATAAAGCAAATGGTATCAGACATTCGCCAGGGCAACCTTGTCTCACACAAATTCACAAATTCAATCAATAAGTTGGAATCGAATGTTCAAGGTATTGAAATGTTTTATTTGGTTTTGTAAATGAACGCAGATGTAATATTAAATCATTTAATTTCTATAAAATACCACTGCATCAATAAAATCTAGAGTTCGCTTGCACTAAGCAGCCGGAACTACTTTGGCAGTCTTTTCATGTATAATTTCCCGCTTCCAGGTTAATTTTTGAAGGAAAAATTAAATACTTTTACTTTAATTTCCCTGAATTTTGAAACCTGTCCGTTATGTTCCTGACTTAATTTCTACTTGTTTCATTTTTGAATTATTCCCCTTTGCTTATTAAATCAAATCGTCTGCATAACAACAATACAGTTTTGGAAAGAAGGAAAAAAATCGACATACTTTTGTTAAATGTTTGGTTTTGAGATATCTGGTATGAACAATGGAATTCTGAAGAAATGTTCGTTATGCTATCAAAGCGGGGAAAACCGTTAGGGCCTAATGTGAATCTTGGGGAACGAATGATCGATAAAAAGGACACTGCATGAATGAGGAAGGAATTATTTTAATCTTTTAACAGTCGGCTGCAGAATCTTTTAGGTTTTACAGCAATGACAGTATGTGATACATATTTATTTGTTCGGTTTGAAATTCAGATGAAAAGACTTGCAAATGAATTAATCCAAAATTTCTGTGACCTAACTTAATTAGAACTGTTAGGATATATGAGTAGCTTCCCTTTACATTTACGAACTTAGATAACTTACCGGACAAAATATTTTTCCCCACCTCTGTCGATTTTTCCGTGAAATACTGGCTTACGATTGGTTGAAGTCTGTCACGTGAAGACGGTGGATTACTTATACCCGGTTAGTTGTAAATCTATACCCGGTCAGTTGTGAATCTATACCCGGTCGATGTATTACGTCACAAACACAAACGTGACGTCAAAATAGGCATAGTATAAGCGTGATGAAGCATTTAGGAAAGAAAACCATTTATAAACTACAGACAAAACGTAAATGTTTCATCGGTGGGGTAAATTCGTTACACAGTCTTTTAGTGACAGGGTATGGGATGATACCTGGTTAGTAAATTTCATATCTGACTCGGCTCCGCCTCGCCAGGTATGAAATTTACTAACCAGGTATCATCCCATACCCTGTCACTAAAAGACGATGTAACTAATAATACCCATTGGAGTTACATGACACGTAAGTTTTTTTATGTTTAAGAACTGTAAATTATTTCAGAGTATGTTGGTAATGACACAATATTTGAGAACGTTTTTTCGTTTGAGCCATTTTGAATTTCAGATCAATGTATTCGTGAGCACTGTCTTGGATGCGTACATTTAATGGAAAGTAAAAGAAAACTTCATTTTATTAATTTAAATTCATAATAAAATGATAAAAAATGAATGTAATATTTTTTTCCCTTTGATCGATGTATCAAAGAAAAAATTTGGACGGAAAACTTTTTCATACGCGAATTGATGAAGTTTTTCGTCGATCAAAGAAAAAATATTACATTCATTTCTTAAGTAATAAAAGAATAATACCTTATTTATTCTACATTTGAAATCAGTGATATGCTATAGACAGAGTATTTCTATGCTACACCAAATATATGGAATTTCATAATAAGCTAGGATATTGCATTTCCAATGCTATAGTATATTAAACGCAGGGTTCTCCATGAGCTGCTTTAC